TCCACAAGGCAGCAACAAAACCAGAAGGAAAATTGCCTTGTTGACAATGCAGCTGAGCAGCAGCACCATCAATCAGCCCCCAGCACATCACCACAGCTCCATCCTTCATCCCAGGCTCATTCCAGGATCCTGGCACAGCACCCCAGAAAATCACTGCCAGAAGACACCTGCCCTCCAATCAACCCCTCGTTCATGGAAGAGTTGGTTAAACCATCTGTGTGATCAGAATTCCCTAATTTGTGCAGAATTTGGGGCAATTTGAGAAGATGCATGATATTTGAAAGAGAAAAATAGCCCCACTAAACACAGATATCAAGGCCTGAAGGAGAATCGTGCCAGTTGGGCTAGAGGAAGTTGCTATTCTTAGCATTGCTTCCAGTTAAATAAAGATTTCTGAGTTAAATAAAGATATCAAGTGTACCTAAGAAATGCTTTCATTTTCACTGCTGCTGCAATTTGCAGCTGGCAGTTGAGTTTCTCAGTGAGGTCCTGGGAAGAAGACAAGAAGAAAATTCTGCAAACTTGAAATGACTGCACATTGCCAGAGGTTCAAAAGTTCTCCACCACTTTTAAAAACAGAGGTGCAGTCAGGAAACTAAGTCAATTAACAAAAAGATAACACTGAAACAGAAAATGCAGTTAATGAGAGCCTGACTAATGCCAATTAAATGCTATTTAAAAAAAGAGGATGCCTGTGATACATTATTATTCAGAAACTAACTGGTCTACAAAAGCTAGCCTTGAACAAGACATAACAAATGGTTGTGTTAAATAACTGTAAAACTAACACAGACCAATAATGTTTTTTCTTAAATTAAAAATGAGCAAAAACTCAGCTGATAACACTTAGCAATTTCAGTAGATTTTACCATGCTCATGGAGAAATAAACAAAGAAAAGGTACAAGACACCCAGTTTCACCAAAATTAATTTTATCTTGCAAAATAACCAAGACATACAAATAAATCAAATATCCTACTGGGCATAATCTGGCTAGGAAAGCAACTTGATCCACCCATTTTTGATAGCTGCAGTTTCAGATACTATTAACGTTAAATAAAAAGAAAAGGAAAGAAACACCCAAGGATTATATTGGACAAAGATTTTTTTAAAAAATATTTTAGTGAAGCAAGCTATGCAGAGGTATGCAACTCTGAGAGGATATACCATCCAGCAAAAACAGAAGCCAAGCCTGCAAGAGCCTTCAGAAAAACCATCATAGACGAGTCAATAATCAAACACCAATTATAGAACATTTGAACAAAAATAAAGGAGGTACCTCAAAAATAAGAACATCAAACGTTGCATATAAGCAGCAAACACTGGGCTAGCAGGTCTGAAAGACTTACAGTTCTATGGCATAATGCACTCACAGCCTGTCGCCAGCACAAATAATTTCTGCACACAAAGAATTTCAGATACTTGTTGAGAACGTTGGAGGAAAATAAAATCATCAAAAAAAAAAAAAAGGAAAGTTATCTTTTGTTACTCCCCCGTTTATCTGTAAATTCTGAACAATGATGTGGCTGAATTAACCACGCAGGGATGCAAGCATTCTTTAAACTCACAGAGCTGAAAGTAAAGCAACCTATGCTTACAAGTGAAAGAAAAGGTGTTTGACTAATGAGAAAGTATACACCATCATCTTTGGTGTGGGATGAATGTAGATTCAGCTCAGAAATTGAAGGGCTTGACCTTCATCTATTGGAAGCCAGTTTAAAAGAAGACTTCAGGGAAAACTATTTCTCCCTCATCTCCCTAAAATGCAACATGTAGAAACACATTGAGATAATGTGTAGGAATTCAATGAAAATTATTACAGCTCCTAACCTTTGCTAACAAGTTTCAGGGCTAGGTAATTGATTATAAAAACAAAACTGCATTCATTATTTGCTAACTTCTGATAAGCAGCAGCTATGTAATTGATTCTCCCTTTCAGTATGCAACCAATTGCACTGCTACCAAAGCCTGTATGTGAAACACTGGTATTTTATTCAACAGTTTGTCTCACTGCCTACTTTCCCCTCTGTGAATAAAGACTGAACTCAAATTGCCATTAAAAAAATGATGTGAATTACTTCAGTGTATTTAATGTTATTACTGGGTAAATGGCCTGAGACAAAATGAGATGCAAGGTTATCTCAAGTTACTACTTTTCTGGGAGGAACTCTAGGAGTCAGAAGCAATCATTAGTCATTGTTCCACAAGTCTCCCAAGAAGATCCATCACAGAAATCTGGCAAATCTCATAATCCTGTGTTTCTGTATCTCCAAGGCATAGTTTGGTAGACAAATTCTGATTAATTAGCTGTATCAGAATAGCCTGCTAATATAAACAGAGCTCTCATCAGCATGTGCATTCCTGGCAGCAGAACAATTCCCCCTCTGCTTTTGCCAGTGCAGTCTGCTCATGTAAGCACATCTCTGCTCACACCTGGGCTGCTGTGGAAGCCTTGGGGAAACCTGCATTATATTCTTTGAGCAAGGTCTGTTGGACAGTTAGCCCTGAGAATTCTACCTAATACTTACCTGACGTGTTTCCTCTCTAGATGGTTCCAAAACCCCATAAGCTCGTGTTTAATGACCCAGAGGGAGAAAAGAGCAGCCTTCTTTACTCCTCTGCATAATCACCTGCTGGCCTAGAGCACAAGTCTCTCCCCGTGGTCACTCACACAAAGAGGTCAAGGCAAAGGATTCAGAATCCTCATCACATTCACTGCTGGCTGAATTGGTCCTAGACTGAGAAATTCTGTGCAGAACGCCTAGATATGAGAGATGAGATGAGAGATGACAGATGAGCCTGTGATTAAGAGTCACAGTGTCATGCTATCGTAGGCATGGTTAAAGAAAGACAAAAAAAAGATTTGTTTAAGCCCATTCTTTCTTTAGACAGCACAAGTTCACACAAGTTCAAGTAGAAAGCACCAGCCTAGAGATGCATCCTCCACTAAGGTGCCTGTCCACTGCAAGGGGAACAGAGCACATGCTTGTCTTCAATAACTCCCACTTGATCTCAGTAAATTTTCTGTAGGTCTTGCTTCCTATCACAGTTGTATGCAGTGAGAGCCAAGATTTTGCAGGATTTTATTTATGTCTAGACAACTTTTTAAGTCTCTTACAGCTAGTCACAGCGATCCTTCCTTCACTCACATTTTACAATCTTCCAGCATAATGAAAATGAATGTCCAGGAGCTGGAACAACTTAAATGATCATAATTCACAACAATCTAATAAAATACGCCTCACTGAAACTTAATATATAAAAAAATACAAGCTGAAATTAAAACTACTCTGGGAGTTTATTTTAAATAGCAATAATAATAAAGCACTACAGTATCTCATTGAAAAGTGGGACACAAACAACACATGAATGGGACCATAACTGAATTAGTCTACACTGCAAAATAAACAAGTAATCATCACAGGATTTGATAGCCATGCATTTAAACATATCCTAATCCCAAAACTAATAAGAAGGCATAACTATAAAAATAGATCTCTCATGTTAAGTCTCATAAAAGTCACAAAACTGCAAATCTGTTCGAAAGGATTTTCTCACATTTTAATTAACTATCATAAAAATATTGTGATGAGATAATCTCAGTTTATATAGCAGCATTTTCTCCATTTAAAATTACGCTCAAGAAAGCTTAGTAAGCTGCCTATTCCCTGCTGACAGGCACAAAAAAATGTATCCATTCTTATATATTCTATTTTATAGATGGGAAAATCATGTGTGTGCAATTTAAAAATGGAGACTTTAAAAAGAGGTGAACTTACTTCAGACTTGGGAAGACTGAACTAGCTCAATCCCCTACCTGAACTATTTCTTTGCAAGTCATGATAGCTCAACATGCTCTGCAAGGAGCAGAAAGCTACCGTGACTCACAGACAGTGTCCAGCATCTTAACAGCCTCTACACCATCACTTTTGGTGCACTGTATCCTCCCATGCCCCATCTGCATGGGTCCTGATATTTCTATTCTAAAATCTAGGTCCTTAAAAATCTAGTTAAATACTCAAATAATTTCAAAGCTGGGTGTTCAAACACATGCTGGATGATGAAAACTCTTGTGTTAGCTTAATTTCTGTATTTGGTGACCAAGCAAAGCTGCTGTTTTAGGTTTACAGCACCTGTCAACTACCACAGAGTGCTTCTCCCCACCTCATTCCAGACACAGCATGAACAGGCTTAGACCAGAAAAATGCCTGGCTGTTGCAATTTCAGCAGCAGTGGGTCATGCACTGTGTTTATTATAATATCCTTATTAAACAACTAATGTTACATTTCTTCAGAATTGGTAAAAAGGCACTGTGAGAACACTCAGCTTTGAAAATATTTGAGTATTTGGACAGATTTAAACAGCCACTCCACAGAACATCTGATGGCCAGCAGGACAGCCACAGACATTTATGTCACCCAGGGATTATGCTCAGCACATGACACCCTTTCCCTGGCACATTACCTCATGCACAAAGTCTCTTACGGTGCCTAGAAGAAAACATTCAGGGTTTTTTTCCTCCCCTCAAAAAGACTGTCAGTATGAAGAGCTTTTCATTTGATCTTTTCTGACCCCTAGATGGAGAAGGGAGGCTGTGTTAGTCCAGGTGTTGCCCTATGAGTACATGCCACGTATGCCCAGGGCAAGAATGCCTCACTTTGCCAAGTCCCTGTGGGAACAGAGAAGGAAATACCACTGAACTGTGTGGCTGACAAAAGAGGAACAGGGTGACGTGGCAGTAACAGCATCTTTACCAAGAGGGACATCCTGCTGAATTACTGCAGGTGAAAGGAAAAGGTGTGACTGTCAACCCCAGGGGAGCACCTGGAGATTCAGACAGGGGAGGGCAGGTGTCACTCTGATTCTTAAGATTTTCTAAAGCCTTCTGAGTTTACATTCTGTTTGAAAACTTTCTCACACAATTTTCTATAAGCAACATATTGTTTTGCATTCCTTCATAGGGGTGGAGAAACTTGATGTAATAGTGGTTTGTCCAATGTCATTGGAGAGGTGGCCCATTCACTCTCCAATCCACTGTCACCTTTGGAAAAGTATAAAAGTTGTATTCAGAGAATAAACTTCCTTCTTTACCTTGCAAACAGCAGTGGCTCATGTCGTGCTTTCACGTGTCCTATAGCGACAGTCAGGCACTGCCTATCTTGAAATTGGGTTCTCCCCTGCTCCTCTCCCTCAAACTACTCTGATCAGGGGCTCTCCCCAACCCCACCACTTTCCAGATGCTTCCTGCTCTCCTCTCACACCTTGTTTCACTCTCAAGCCCAAATCCTTTCTGTGCAGAGGGCTTCCTCCCCCGGCCACAAAGGGGAAGAGGCAGCACACGTTGGCTGTGCCAGGGCCCTCGGCTTCCTTCCTCCTGCCATGGCCTGCTGCCCTCCCACCCCATCATTTTCCTATTCCTCTTTCCTATTCCTATTTCCTTTCACAGGCCGTAGGGATATACCTGGTTGAACATGCTGGAAGTAAGTTCTTTGCCTTTCAGTCGGGTCTGCCACTTTGCAGAGATGCTGATCTGTGTCCTTGTAATCACCATCACTGACAGCAAACTTCTCTCTCCCTGTAAAAGCTCCAGTTATAAATATTTGCTTACAGAACAGTGGCAGAAAAGTGAACTTTTAAGTATGCACAATAATACACCCTGTCAAAGATCCAAAGTGCTGCTGTTGCAATCCTAGATACTCCAGCTTTAATTGTTTTCACCTCTAAAGCCTTCACTCTCCAAAGCCTACAAAACATAGAGGCATGCTATGTCAATGACACAGTAAAGTTAAGCAAACAATATGCTAGCAAAAAAAAAAAATATTTTCTATTTTTCAGCCTGAACTGTTATCAAATATCTTTTGATGTTCAAGTGGTATTTATAAATCAAAACCACCTCCATTATGTTATTTTGCTTTCTTTAAGCCAGAAATCCAGATCTTTTTTTCTTAAATTTCAGCTGCCAAAAGAATAAAAATTGGGGGGTAAGAATTTAAGGAATCTTTGCATTTTTTTCCCTTTCCTATGATTTTGAGAAGTCAAATTCAGATTCCCCTCCAAATAAAATGGCAGCAAAGAACAACTTTATGTTCCAACTCCCTATAGGAAATTTTAAACCTCCACTCCTGTGTCATCAGTAGAAGAGATCACATGGATCAATACACAAAATACAGCACCTAGAAGGCACAGTTAGAGCCACACAAGGTCCAACCCAAGGCTAAATCACAGACAGGATGCTGCTCAGCTGCAGCAGTAGCTGGTGGTACAGGCTGACACGCTCCCTCCAGAGTCACAAAACACTCAGCCCATCCCTCCTGCAACAAGGGAATAAACAGTGGCTCACAGGAATTGCTGCTCCTGATGCAAATGGCACCTCCCTGAGCTGTCTGACCTGGACACGTGCTGTTCCAGAGCAGATCTCCAGACAATCTCCCTGTTCCAAACCTCCTGTGGCAAAGTTCAGTCACCCTGGCACTGGTAGAGCTCTTCAACGTGCAACTCACCTGGAATATCTGCAAATATAACCTGCACAAGATTCAGCACTCCAGACTCACCAACAGCCTGTGGGCAATAGAAATTACCAGTGATGTGCATCCACTGCAGAATTAGACCACAGTAAACCACCCAGCCTTGCAGCTGCAACTAAAGCATTACCAAGCAGCCAGAGGCCGTGAAGTGCCCATCATGTTTGAAATGCAACTCAAGCAAATGCCATAAGAAACATAAATCATTTTTTCACCACTAAAATACCAAAGATCTTTCAAATCCTTTCAGATGAAATGCAGGCTGTAGTATTTCCACCCTGACTTAACAACCCAAGAGGGCTGGATGTGTCCAAGGGGAAAGTGGTTCTCCTAAGCCACTGTCAGTCCCAGCTCACAGCAGCTTCTACAACCACCATTGTTTGAAAAGCCTGGCAAATGGTGCCACTTTTTTCAGAGAAAACTCAGCAATTTCCCCTTCCATTAAATTATATTTTAAAAACAAAACAAAAAAAAACCCAACACAACAAAACAACCAACCGAAAAAAACCCACACAAAAAACAAACAAACAAAAAACCACAAAAAAACAAACCCATCCCATCCAACCCAAATGCCACATCCCAGTCCTTCAGTGTTCCCTTACCACAGGGAATTAAAAAAAGTCTGGACTTGGTACTTTTTTTTTTTTTTAACTTTCAAGTTGCTGTTGAGGAAGATAATGGAAAACTGCAGAGCTTAGCATTTTATTAGCAGATGGAAGATTTAGATCATTACCCCACACCTGGAATTAAGCCCCAATAAAACTTTTGGTTTTGTAGTAGCTCTCCCTCCCTAAAGACAAAGTAACAGTTCAGCTCTAAAGAAGGAAAAGAAAATGCAAAAAACATAACTAGAAGTGACTTAAAAGACAGCTAAAAAAATACTTTCAAACATTATGAAAAGTTTAGGCAAAAAAATGAAGGTTTTCATTGAAATAATCCCTTTTAAGTTTCTATTTTTAAATAACAAGGTCCCTCAAGTTTTATGTAGAGTTTATCACACTGTCACAGAACTTGCAGTCTGTGAACCACCAACTTCCTTCTGTGGTTATGAAAAAAAAAAAAAAAAAAATCTGTACTGTACAGTATGTCCAAAAAAAGAAAAAGCATGAATTCTCTATTGTATTAAGAGAGTCTCCTCAAAAGGAGTCAAGGTCCCCACATGCTCAGCACTCTGCTCTCTCACCCTTGGATGAAAAGCCTTTCAGAACAATTGTTGCTGCTTAAAGATGATGATGCCTCACAGGAAGACTAGAAATCAGTTGAAACACAAGTAAAAGCAAGCTATGGGTGTTACTTTTGTGAATTAGAATCCACACCTAAAACAAGGCTGTTTTTATACATACTCACACAAAACTTCCAGTGTGAACCTCGTATGTGGCCTTCAGGAGTAGCCATAAGTAAAACTATAAGAATAAATCATTTTGAAAAACAGTCTGAATGCATTACTTCTGCCCAGAAAAATTAACAACTTCTTGGACTGAGCCATCAACATCAAAACTACTCCCACATTTTAAAAAACTGGGCTGAGCATTCCAGCTAGAAACTACTCACCTGCCTCTCCTCCTCTGGATGCAAACACTGCTCCTCCCAACACCCCCTTGTTGATGGATAAAGCTGCTGGCAGCTCCCCCTCAGCCATTCAGCATTCACCACAGAAACACACTGAGTTATTCATTCCTCTGGGCACTGATGCAATGCAGAGAGAGCCAAAGACTCTGAGCACACTGGGTGTGCTGAACCCATCTTTGCTTATCGCTGCTGTATTTGCAGTTGGACACAATAATTAAACAGTGACCCACAGGGGGCTTCATACACCATTCAGAGCAGAGGAAAAGTGTTTCTAAAGTAAGCAGACATCTCTGCAATAGGTCAGAGAGTAAGCACACCCCCAGCAAAAGGTGGGAATTTGTCATGATTGGGAGGAATAGAGATCTTTCCCCGCTAATGTGAGAACCCCGGGCTTGGTCTGGGGTCTCGTGTGGTGGAAAAGTCTCTCCTCAATCTGTGCTTCCAAAGAAAAACTCCACAGCCTCTTGTTGTTTGGTCTCAAAGCAGTTTATTGCAAGTTATCTAAAAGATTTTCTTCTGGGGCTGCTGTGGTTTGCTCAGCAGCTCAGGCAGAGGCACACACACACCCTGACATCCTCTCTGTCTGCTCTCTTCTTCTTCTCTCTCCCCCCACCCAGGGCTGCTGCTATCTTTTATATGATATATTACATATCACATGTTTATAGTTTTCCCCCAATACCTACTACCTATATTACAAAGTGCTTTTCTACTCTAAACCAATCTGTGAGTGCCAACATCACCAAGAACATGGAGGCAAGGAAGGAGAAGGAGGAAGAACAGGATCAGCCCACTTTCCTCCATCTTAGAACTTCTGACCCCCATGTACAAACGAAAACCCCCCTGGACAGGTGTTAAAACCCCCCTGTAAAATACTAAAAAAAATTCCCCTCTGTTTTGTAACTACTTTTACTATCCTATCTAACCCTTTGTGACTGTTTGTTCCACCTCCAAAGTTGGTAACTCATTCCATGGCTCAAACTCAAAATCTCAGCTGTTTCCAGCTGCCTGACAGGGATCTAAAATGCTTCTGACCAAGGCCTGGAACCTCTAAAAATGTCTGAGGGACATTTTGAGTTCCAACACTCTGAGATAGCAGAAATGAAACAGCCACCATGGACCTACAGGTGACCACCACTCCAGGAGAGCTCCTGCCAGTGACTCTTCCCTGCCTGCTGGCCAAGAGGAGCTGCCAAGCCCCCAGGCTGAGCTGTGTGTGAGCCCCCCAGGGCCCCCTTTGCAGGATGGTGACAGCCAGCATGCCCCAATACCCAGCTACACTCCCAAAAAATCCCCCCAAAAAACCCACAATTCTCATTTCCCTGCTCCTGTCCCTCTGCCATCTCTTTTGCCCTGTGATACACCAACAGTTTTACACACAGGCCAGAAATCTTGCCTTCCTTCTGCCTGCACATACCAAGGGCTGAAACCTCTTTCAAGACCAGGAAAGAACTTTCTTAGAGAGCAGGCAATGCATTTTGTGAGGATGCATTGAAGATGCCAAAATATTCTGTGAATCTACTGAAAAATGGTTAACCTGCCTCTATATCCACAGTGGTCACCTTTGCAACGTGTCACTTGTTTCCCACTATCTCAAAAGTTTTAGACTACTCCCCCTGCTGCCCCCAGAAGCTGTGCAGAAGTTTTGGATTTAACACCCCAGGGTACTTAAAAGTGCCAAGAAATGACCCAGAACCACAAGGGAGTCTGGACAAAATACCAGACATACAGAAATACAGAATCTGACCCTTACCAAGCCTGCAGGTGAACTTGCATAAAGTGCATTCCAAGATTCATATAGGCACTTTGGAATTTGCTGCTGTGGGGCACCTCACATTAACTGGGGTTAAATCTTGAAGATAAAGGACTTCAAAGCTGAAACAGAACATTTTGCATCATTCAACAGCAGCATGATGTGCCAGGTCAAACTCAACTACAGAACAGTCATCACTCCAAAAATCCTGTTACACAAACCATGTCAAGAGCTAAACTACTGGAACAAACCATTTTCTGAAAGTTTTAAGTATTTAACAAAACCAAAAATATCGGGGGAAAAAAGTGCAAAATATAAATGTATGCAATGAGAAGCAGCTGTCATTATTTACTCATACATTGGTGACTGTTTCAAACCACAGGGCTCTATTAGTAATCATAATTACCAGAATTACTTTACTAACTGTAAGGCTCTGCATTACTAAGTTCTTGCAGAAAAATAACAGTAAGAAACATAATTCACTCAAACTGGAAGCTGCTGGGATACTCATAACACTGATTTTCTTATTGCTTCTGTGTGTAGGCAAGGTTCAAGATCAGCAGCAAGTTATGCAGCAGTTTGAAAATACTTGACAAAAATCTCAGTCATTAATTATATTTGGAAAAATTATCCCCTCACTAACCTTTAAAATTGTCAAGTGTAAGATGCAAATGTTTTCTGGATTTGCATCACCAGTTGTCAAGGCACTACTTTGCTGTCAAGTGTCAGAAATTTCCACTTTCCTCAGTTTTAGAAAGCAAATCACATACTGGGGGGTCCCTGTGTGGATTTTAAAATAATACATGCCCTATCATCCTCTCCATATGCAAGCATTTGATGTGCTGTGTCAAGAAGGAAGAAATTGATTCAGCATTCTTCTCTCTTCTGAAGTTACATGGCTACACTGCAGTTTCCCAAATCCTGCCTGAATATTCCATTTGTCCTTTCCCTGTTCCACATGTGGTTTTGTAGGTAAAGGCCACTGAGTTCATCTGTACTCCCCAGAACAACTAGAATAAATCAACAAACCATGATTTTATCTGGATGAGTCACAGAATCCACTTTGCTAAACACATGCTGCTTTGTACATTTCAGAAAATAGAATTCCATGCCAAAAGGGATAAATGCATAGATTAATGCTCTAGCTATCTCATCAACTGACAAATAATTCAGAAGCTGCAATTAAAAGAAACAGCATCTCACAAATAAATTTGAGATCTCACAGTTGCCTTCAATTGCCCATTTTTAAGTATATTTCAACCCATGTATTCTCTGTAAGGTATCCAGTTACAGACTCTTAAGGGAACACTTACCATTCCACCCCAGAGATAAACTGTGCTAACCCTCTAAAGCAGGAGCCTTAGGAATTCTTCATGGTCACCATGAAATATTCACTTGGCTCAACAGTGAGTTTTCAAAAAAAAAAAAAAAATTATATTTTCTAATAATAACAAGCAAACAAACAAACAAAAAAAAACCAAAACCCGCAAAAAAACCCTAAACAAACCCAAAATCCACCCCACCAAAAATTCACATTAAAAAGCCAAACCAACAGAACAGTGAAATAAGTCAATCGCATATGAAACATCACACTTAAATCAAGCTGTACACAAGCTACATCTGTTTTGTTCTCCAATATCTATAGATATTTTCTTTAGTTAAATTGAGAAAACTGATTTTAGAAATGCAATTTCTGCAACAAGGAAAATGATAAATGGCATTTGTCCAGGATTCATCTACTTGAAGAATAATGCTGAGTTCATTATAAGCTTACTTGAAGGTGACTCAAAGAATATTTTTTAGAAGTCCTGTTCTTTACTGGGACTTCATAATTAGTTTCAAAAATCATCTGATCAGAAATACTATTTTAAAAATGAAAGTATTCAAGAAGAACATAAAGCCCTAAATTTACAGCAGTTATCAGCTGTCTGTATATATGCTTTTTTGTGTTAGAGACATGGAAGGGGTTAAAAGCATGCACCTAAGCTGGCTTCTTTCACAATGACCACATTTACAGAATGGCATACATATTCCACTTTTCCTTTAATAAAAAATCCTGGAAGAAACACACTGAAAACCCAGACTTTTTTAAACAAATGCCCTACCTAACTGGAAGTTTTACTGGAAGTTCTAACTTTCTCTCACCCCAGCAGTAAGTCTGGTACAATCATTTCCTTATCCTGTTTGTAGCCTATTTCATGCCACACCACTCTTGGCCATTTGATCCCTGAAAATACCCTCTATTTATTCTAATTCTTTTTGGGCTTCTCCATGAATCTCACCAGCTGAAACTTAGACAAAAAGTGTCCCTTAAAAACCTGATTCTGTAGCGTATCTATCTGAAACACCCAAAGCCTTGCAGCAAAAGAGAATTATCTCTAACTGAGTCATCTTTTGGGGTTTGCCTGTTATGTGATTTGGATTTGTGCTTCCTTCCCCTTTGTGCAATAGGAAGCCTAGGATGAAAGTTAGATGCTTTCAGTAGTGAAGCCTTGCACTACAAAACACTGTGAAAAACAAAGAGTTTTATTAAACTTTCTGGCTCTGGGAAAAGCTGAGACATGCTGCTTCCAACAGTCAGGTAGCGGAGCTCCCTCTATTGAATTAGCTGCCAATATCTCTTCAAAGCTTTAAAGATGCCACTGTGGTCAGAATCAGTGTTCTAATAAAACCCTAAAAACCTAAATGCTTCCAGCCTGGGCAGCTGGGACCTGTCACGTACACAGTGTGCAAGGGACAGCTCAGGGAAGGGGACAGCCAGCACGCAGAGGCTGTGACACGCCAGGATGTCACTGCCTGCCAGGGCTCCTGCCCTGGGGAATTCTGCTCTCCTTGGCTGCTGACTCAGAGTTTGCCATCAGGTCCCAAACTGCTGTGCCCAACTGGAAGAACTTAAACGTCTCTCAGACATTTTTAGAAGTTCTAGGGTTTAGTCAGAAGCATTTTAGACCCTAGCAGGCAGCTAGAAACAGCTGTGATTTTGAGTTTGAGCCATAAAATGAGTTACCAACTTTCGAACAGTCACAAAAGGTTAGATAGCATAGTAAAAGTAATTACAAAACAGAAGGAAAAAATTTTTTAGTATTGTACAGGGGGGTTTTAGCACCTGTACAGGAGGGTTTTTACTTTGTACATAGAGGTCAGAAGATCTAAAACGTGAGCTAATCCTATTCCTCTCCTTCTTCTTCCTTGCCTCCATGTTCTTAGTAATGCTAACACTTATAGATTAGTTTGGAATAAAAAAGCACC